AAAAAGAACAACAAAATTTTGAACCAACATTGTTACTCTTTTCGTGGACTCTTAAATGTCATTTAATTTATCGAGGAAAAATGGTGAGAATATCAGCTATGAGTGTTGTGTTCAAATATACATGGGTTGAATTTTGACGTTCTATTTAAAGTTTTTCATTTTATTATACCAGAGGAAGAGAGAAAGTGCCTGTTTTTCTTTCCTGAAATGTAAATTTTTCTTTAATTTGAAAAAAACACAACAAAAAACATATTGTTGGTTATTTGCTATGATTTGAGGCTCCTGCCCTTACTAAGTAACATGTTATCCTGAATCCCTGAATCAATTTCATGAATGAACTACACATCTTTATGTTGACCCCTCGTCCTGTTTTAATATTACTTTTCCAGCCTCAGTCGCCACCCAAACCATTACCCCTTGACCCAGAAAATCCATATGTCCTTGTGCCTCTGCATCAGTATCCAGAATTCACCTTCCAGTGTGCCACTCTCCTAAACCTGGAATGGCCCAGAAGTCGTCAGGCCAGGTCGGTTCTCAGTCTCAAATCTTCATGCTAGGGTCTTTATACAATATCGCTTTCTGTTTCTGGCAATATTTTTTCTCTATGGAGCGCATGACTCTTTATTCTATCTCTTTTATACCTCGTCAGTAGTATTTTTGCTAATGCATATTTTTTACCAATTAGAGTATTTAAAAAAAATTGACTGCTGCTACTTTCCTCTTTTTAAAAATTTTGTGTGAGAAAAAATGTTGTGTTTTAAGGAAAGGTTTGTGAGTGAAACGGGTTATCTAAATTAACATATTGAAAACGTAAACTCAAGGTGCTTACAATTATTTTTTTTAGAATCATTTGGTAACTGGTACTGAGGGGGACGTTTATTGACCAGGCTTCCTCTTGGCCAGCACCACTCTTTTTGATCTCTGTTCATATTTCATTGCTACTAATTCATGCTTCAATGATTTTGTTTTGTTTTATTTGTTTTGCCTTGTTTTTCTTCTGCTACTATCCCTGCACTCTAACATTTGTGGATTTCTTTCATTATTCTCCATTTTAAAGAATGTTTGTTCTGTGGTGCTGAATTCGTCTGCTTCTTTTCTTACCAGGTTGAACAGTCTCTGGTCATGCAATAAAAACTTTCCTGTAGCAATGGTTCTTGTCCAATGTGATGTACGGCAAGCTGTTGGATTTTGCAAAATTTCTTTAATTCCTAGTCAAAAGCAGTCATGTTTTGTGGAGTCAGGTTGGTAATGAATGCTTTTTATTGTCTTCTGTGACATTGAGATCGGTATGTCTAAATCTTTCTACATGTTCATTTTATCTTAGTTGTGATCCAGCCTGAGATGCGGGGAAAAGGTTTAGGGTCCTTACTTATGAAAAAATTGGAGGAGTATGTTCTTAGGTAGGTGAGAGAGTGCATTTACATTATACCTGCTTATGTGTTGTTGTTTTTTTAAATTAATCACATTTTTTATCTACAGCCGAAAACTACAGATTTTATATTTGTCAACTATAGGTCAAGAAAAATTCTACAAGAAACTTGGATACAATGAATGTGAACCAGTATCTCTGTACGCTTTTGGCAATTCAAACTCTACCTCCCCACTTCCACTAAGCAACAACCAAATCAACAAGCTAGAAAGTGGCATGCTCAAGGAAAATAATCTTCAGAATGTGTCTCAGGATAATAATGGCAAATCAATTTCAAAAAATGATAACAGACTGATAAGTCAGTGTTCTTCACCTCCGCCCCCACCCCCACCCTTGCCAAAAAAGTCTTTCAGTGATGGAGTTATGACTTCCAAGACCTACATGAGGAAGGAACTCACAAAAAAGTAACATATGTTATTTTGCATTTATCTTCATGTGGGTTACGGTCATCAAATATCATGTTTTCAATTGATTTTAATTGTTTGCTACATAGCTTCTTTGCTTTCTAAATGATCAACTTTCTGTTTATTTATATGAAGATTGTCTGCAGTATTAATGCTTTTATTCTGTGATGTGTGCCTTGTTTTGTATTGTGTGATGGAACTTTAAGACTGCTTTGTGCTTTTACCTTGTCCTTAAAGCAGCATTTGAATCAGCTACTTCTAAGTACTGTAATGTTAAAACAAACTCAGCTTCTCTGCATTTATTAATACATGTATGTTTGCTTTTATCTAGGGGTTGGGTTTCACATTTGTTTTAATAGAAAGAAATAATATGCTTTCCTTTCCTGAGTAGAATTTAATTTATAATTGCAATCTAGTCAGCAGTATTTTATTTGTCACTTTTTTATTCAATTGGTCAGTCACACATTTTTTGAGCTCCTCATTTTGTACAATAATGACAACTCAGTTAGCTTGTGTGCATTTAAAACCCATGTTTTAGAGCAAGGCTGTATCAAGGTTAACCAGAGCAATTTTGGAAATAAAAAGAGTATTTTACCTAGATTGTAATATTTTATTATACTTTCACGTACAAATTGTGGGCACTCGTAGTTCCATGGGGAAGTTCTGTTCTAGATGTTCTGATCTTAAATATTTAATTAAATTTTCATTAAAAAATCACATGGTATTCTGAAATATTATTATGATTATTATTAGTTATACAGCGATACTATAATACTACATGTATCAAATATTTAGAAAAAATGCAACTTATGTCTACCAGTGAGCCACAAGAGCATAAGAACGTGTTTGATCACAAGACAGTGCCATTCTCAACACTTAAACCGAACCATCATCAGCAAGGATTAGTGCACCACTATTTGCTTCTAAACTAAACTCTAGTTGAGACTAACCAATGCAGGTGGCTAAAACAAGTGTGAGAGGTGATAAATGCATGAAAAATTATGACTGATGTTGATATTTGAACAGCAGCTGTATTGGTCAAAGCACTATCTTCTCAGTGTATGGTGCTCCAACTGTAGCTCTCTTACATTGGATTAATGAGCATGGCACCATCTGATCTGTGGTCAAATAGACTCTTGTCTCTTAAATGTATGCAGAAGTTACTCTCCAAATATTTCATACACCTATTAATATAATGTTCATACTTCTGATGATTATTTTTTAAACAGAAAAGAAATATATACAGGGGGTTCAGTCAATAACAATACTGTTGTTCTATACGGTTCAAAAAATTTATTCTAGATAAGATTCAAAAGAAGTATTTTAAACTCTTAAAAAAGTTGAATGTTTCCTTACACCATTTTTTTTCTTTCTTTAAATGACAATAACAATCATAATATGTATTTGCAAAAATGTAAGTGTAGCCTACTCAAGCTTGGAGAGGCTTTGCAATTCCAACCATCTGATGGTAGTGTTCTGGTTTATCCAGACAATCAACTAGGAAGAAACCCAAATCATATTTAGAAATAGCCCTTCCAGGAGAGGAGCCATGTTTGATTTCATAGTTTCCAGATGGTTCAGCTGTAACAAAGACAATTCTATTTAAAAATCAGTATTTTAAACATGGTCATAATTACAGCATGCTGCAGCAGCTATCTTCTGTTTGTTTAAAGAGAAACTCTCTACTTAGGAATGAAGAAAAGCATTAATAAGTCAATTCGCTGAAGATTAACTCAGAAATGAATGTACAAAGGTTATCCCAGTGAGAAATGAAATATCGATACGACATCGTTTCGACATCGCATGTCGGAAATGTATCGAAATCAGGTAAATTTTTTTATCGTTTACGATACAATTTACGACATTCGATATCTGAACGTTATCGTTTCGATATCGCATCAAAAACCTCTTCTCACTGGGTATGGCAAATGTCTGGCAATCCCTGGTAGCACCAATGCACTTAAATATGCATTAGCTGAGGCAATGCACATAAAAGGTGACACTCTGGTAACGCTTTCAAAGCACATCAAAGCATTGAATATGCATTTAGTGCGCAATTAATGCGTCACCAATGTGTCACCTTAGGTGCATTTCTATGAACATTGAAGCGCATTCTGCATTTAGGGGGCTTCTGGGGATGGTAGAATGACGCAATCATTAGAAAGCAAAAGCTAAAAACAGACATGAAGACAAAGACACCACACTCTGCCACCTCAAAAAATTATTCAGAGGACACATACTCTCAGAGGACATAAATGGCTTAAGTGCTTTACGACTGATCCAAAGAACAGACATGGCAGAAGCTGCAAGGACACCCATCATTCCATGGCCAGAAGTCGCCAAGCTGCATATGGCAGGCCATGAGATCTCCGTGCCTGAGCACAAATTAAGGGACCAGATTGAGCCTTAAAAGCTTTCAAATCATTTGGAAGACTAAAACAACTCACAAGTCATGTCATGAGCAAATTAAATTTAGGGTAACTAGTTGCTACCTGCAATGTGTGGAGGACAAACAGCAATCCAATCGCGGTCACTAGCTTTGAGAGCATCAAGCATTCGTATGTGATCTTGCGTTAGGTCCCGAAGCATGGGAGTAACTTTCTCGATTTCCATGAAGAGAAAGGCTAATTGGGAGGAAAAAGAGGCATAGAAATACAGACGATGGATGTGTACAGCGTAAAGACTGAAGTAATTATGATTGGTGCAACCTACAAGACATGCATCCTGAAACTGGTTTCACTCCTGCTTCTTTCAGAGCATTCAGAATATTTTTAGTGCCCTCTGACATCATAGTGGTAGGTTCTGAAATAAAACAACAGCATGACAATCGGAAATTGAAAATTCAAGATAATTACTCAAATTACGGGTACACAGTACTTACTGACATCATTTCGGGTACCAAGAACAATGACAGCAGCATCAACGCCCTCCACAGTTTTCTTTACATCATCATAGTTCAAAACATCACCCTGAACAATCTCGACTTTAGATTGAACTTCCACGGGAAACTTAGCTGGGTCTCTGGCCAAAGCACGCACCACAAGACCTGAAAACATAAGCCGCCGTAATCCAATGCATTATAGTCACACAAAAATATAGCTTCCCTTTTCCAAGTAGAGTAATTCTTTTCTCTAATAAATACCTTTCTTTAAAGCAGCATCCACAGCACACAGGCCTGTGTTGCCGGTGCCACCGAAAATTGCTATTTTCTTCATAGCTAAAAATTCCCAGCGCAGATAGGGGCCACAAGATTAAAAAGAACCTGCTGATTTAATGACAAAATTCTTCAATAAATCAAATTAATGTAAAAATAGAAAGACTATGCACACCAAATTACAATTCTTACCGGCTGGGGGTGTGACGAGGAAGACAGAGGCGTGACTTGCTCGACTTGCTTTCGACGATGATTAGATAAAACCGAATCAAAACACGTACGCCCTCCGTCCTCCCACCCCCCCTCCCTTCCCCTTCCCCATTTGCTCCATTGTGATCCATCACTTGTTTTCGTTTTCTGTTGGGTCTCTTAGTTGAGGTTAAGTTCTCGGTGGTTCTCGGCTCAGGAGGAGTGGTTCCGAGGATTATATTATACTTCAACAACAATAACAAACAATGACCGTATTATCTCTTTGCTCAAGGTTTTCCTCAAGAAATCCTTTAACAAAAACTGAGATATGTACAATTACTAGACCTTTTCAAACCAATAGTAATAAAATCTACCCCGTTGTCCCTTTGCATGTACTGTTCACTAAGTTAGTTAGTTTTATACAAGAAGATCAAATATGTAAGTTTTAAAGTTGACTATTAAATTTTTAAAAAATGAATTGAAGGTAGTAGAATTTTGATGATTTTACAACAAATTTCATAGGTGCAATGTTTGAGCAAATGAGACATGTTGTCTGTGACAGTGATGTGCCTGTATTTGAAATGAGAGCTGGGAATGGGACGTTGACAAAGAAACTTTTGGAGGCAGGAGTGGAAAATCTTCATGTTTTTGAGAAGAGAAATAGTTGTCAACCTGGCCTGAAGGTTGTGTTTTTTGCGATATTTTTCTTACTTTCTAATTGCTACGTTGAACTTTCATCTTCTGGTGTAAGATTTGGTGCTAGTTACCTTGAAAATTTGTCTATCTAGGAATTGCTGGCACTCTATCCGGGGAAAAGCACCCTCCACCAAAGAACATTTAATGAAACATTTTTAGAAGCAAACAATGTACCATTATATAACAGTCCTTTCCTGACAAAAAGTCTTCCAGTAAAATTGAAAAGGGCATGGAAGGATAGTGAGTGAACTTAAATTATTTTGACTTGCTAAACATACTGTATTTTAGTTACTTTTTAATTTTATATAATCTATTTATTATCAGGCCCATCACTGAAAGTTATTGCATCACATAATAATGGCAAAGTTTTAATTGTTGCTTTAAGTCATCTAAGTAAGAATATGATGTATTACGGAATGGGGAGACCCCAGTTTATAATGTGCTTACCAGCATCAACTTGGGTTAGTATATCTAGTAGGTTATTTTTTAATCATCGTAAATTCTCAGAGACATATCGAAACAATACTTTGTGAAACCTAACACTTAAAAATTTTATAGAAGGTTTGATCATACTGTTGTTTCAGAGAAAATTACATGATAATCCCAAGAAATTACATTACCAAGAGTACCACTTTGGAGGCCTTTTATTTCCTGATTTTTATGAGTGTGAAGTGTTAGGTACAATTGGTCCACCTGTGCATTTTAGTTCTGGTGAACAGGTACATAAATTAACAGAATTTATTTTGCCTAGTGACCCTTGAAAAGTTTTACTGATTTTCTGATTATGTTTAGGGTTCTCATGTTTCAAAAGAAGAGTTTATAACAGTAAGTTTAACACTTTCCAAGGACCTAGAGGATGTAGCAGATCCGGAAACATTGGAGGAATACTTATTCTTTGGAACTCAGACGATGAATGGTAAAGCCAAACACTCAAATGTTGTTCAAACTTTAGAGTAAGTATTCTCTTAGCCAACTATTACTTAGCACTTTAAGTTATACAACTTTGACTTTAGTATTTAATCATTATTTTCTTTTTAATCATCAACCAAGACACTGGTTACCAGAATCAGGAAGACAGCTAGTGATGAATGGTGTAAATTGTTTCATCCAATTCACTGATTTAAGTGCTGCAGATGCCCTGCGAATATTCTGCATTTGGAGATCACTACCAAATTATAAATCATCCCTATTTATGTATGAGTACCGGGATTACTTGGAATGTAATACATTTTAATAAAAAAAATTACATATTAGTAAAGCATAAAACAAAACAGACTTTATTTTCTAGTTGAGTGGAAGAAAAATTATCCTAACAATAAACAGGAAACGATTTAAAAAGAATAAAAAAATCTAATACCCAGGTGAGTGTTCAAATTCATGAACCATAACTTAAAAGGGAAAAAATAATAATAGTTTTCTTCTTACAAAATGGGCTGAACAGTTGAATTTTCAAATGATTGAGGATTTTCCTCAGATAATAGCAGTGTGTTTGTCTCTTGGTCAGAGTGAAGAGATTCTGTGTGGTTAATGAGATCCACCCTCAAGGCAAACTTTTTAGGGCACTTAAGACAACTATACACTGACTCAAGAACAGTTCCCTCCACTCCAGCTAACAAATGATAACGCCTTAAATGTGTTGTACAGTCAGATTTAACTTTGAAAGATCGAGAGCAAACACTGCAGGTGTATGGTCTCTCAACAAAGTGGGAACGTTCATGTTTCTTAAGTGCGTCCCTCTCATTAAAACTTACACAGCAGACAAGACAGGTAAAGGTACCAACCTCTGAATGAACCATTTTATGCTGATTTAGTCTATCTAAAGCTTTAAATGACTTAGCACAAATTTCACATGTGAAACAATTGGTTGACAAATGAACAGATTTATGACTGTTCAAATTTGAAGGGTCTTCAAATCGATCACCGCAGATATTACAGGCATAGGGTTTGTCCTCAAAATGATCACTTGCATGGCTATCAAGTTCAGTGCGATTGCTAAAGAATTTATTGCATATTCTGCACGACAGAGGCTGGGTCTCTTTATGCTGGAGTGTATGGTTCGAAAGCTGCTGCTCATTAGTGAAGCATTTATTACACAGTGCACACTTATATTCCTTTGAATTATTCTGATCTCCTTCCTTGTGATTTTGAATGTGACGAGATAGCTGGCCCCCTGTATCAAAACTTTCATGACAGATTGCACACCTATAAAACAACAGTCCTAGAAGAAGGTCTTCAGCATGCCGCTGTCGATGGACTTGAAGAGTAGTCATTCTATTGAATGACCGATGACACACCCCACAACTGTAGAAGAATGTATTCTCATGAATTGACATGTGTATTGCTAGTTTCTCTTTTCTGATAAACTCCTTTCCACATGTTGGGCAAGAATAGCTTTCTCCTGAATGGATCTGCATATGGCGACGATAGCATCTAAAAACAAGGGACAAGGAAACACAAAATTATTTTGTGCTAAAATAGGTACTTGTGCTTTACATAGTCCCTGTTACACTCAGTGCCATGTAGTAAGGACGAGTAGTTTTCTCAGTACTGTGTGTTCTAGCAACTTAGAATGAAAACTTGCAAAATAATACTATCAAACCTGGCATTTCTAGTTTTGAATGGTATTATAGTCATGTGTGTAAGAGTTCCGTGTTCCGAGATGAATCACCGTTCCGCAACATGGCACTGAGATTAATACTTGTTCTTCCTACCACCAAGAAGGTGTCAGAGTTGGCAAAGAACGAGTAAAAAAAACATGGGAGAGGGAAACAGGCTTACGCAAGGAGCAAAAACCACATGTAAGAATAAATTATGCGGCTTCAAAGGAAGATAAACTGTAAGGCAGCACACAAAAGAACAAAACAAGAAACTTACCGGTAATTAAAAGTCTTATCACACACAGTGCAGGTAAATGTACGATGATTTAGCCGATGGATTCTTAAACCATCTTGAAGCTTAAAGCTTTTCCCACATATGTCACATAGATGGGGAGAGTCTGGATTATGTCTCAGCAAATGGGCAGCATAAGTTGATTTTACAGAAAATCTTTTTCCACATTCATGACAGACATAGGGTTTCTCTGCATTGTGACGCTGAGCATGAGACATCATTTGCTGTTTTGTTCGAAAACCTAATCCGCAGTGATCACATACGACTGGTTTCTCTCTCGTATGTATTCTCTCATGTTCAATTAGATGCCATTTTGATTTTAAGGACTTATCACAGAATCTGCACTTTAAATGAGTTACTTTGTGCTCAGCAAAATCTTCTTTTACATGTGTGGAATAGTCGCAATCAGGACATTTCAATTCTTTTTCTATTTTAGCTCTTGGCTTTCTTTTTCTTTTTATCTTACATTCAGTTGGTTCCTTTGAATCAGTCACGGTAAGTGAAGATTCACCATCAACCTGATCTTCAGCATGGTTTACTTGTTTTGCATTAGGCTGTTTTTTTCTTTTTTCTTTGACTTTGGTAGTCTTTTTTGGGCCAGTTATGAGAGCTGTTATAGATTCAGCCTCATTTTGACATTCAACTTGCTGCACTTGCTCTTCAATTGGCCTTTTCCTTAATTTCCTACGTTGGGCTGGCTCCTTTGGGCCAGTCAGCAGTAAAGATTCACCTTTAATCTGGTTTTCAACTTGTTGTGTATTTTCTTCAACTGTATTTCCCTTTCTTTTTCTTCCGCCTTGAGATGGCTCTTTAGCCCCGATCGTGAGAAGAATTGAAGATGAAAATTTACAGTCATTCCGATTTCCGGTTTGATTGATCTGCTCTTCAATATTTTGCTGAATGATTTCTGTATCCTCAATTTCTTCAAAGATGCTATTTTCAGAACTTGAGCATGTTGAATGTGCTGCTGGAGATTCAGGCATTGCACAAACTATCTCACTACCCTTCTTCTCCTTTCTTTTGTAAATAGGATGTGCACTCATTGACTTTAGTACATCCTGAAAGATGCTAGTATTTTCCTTTGTAAGTTTGACAACTGTCACACAATTGCTCTTGATCTGAAAAATTAATAGAATTATATGATTTCAGATTTCAAATGGTTTGAAAGAAAAACTGGTCATAGATTTTTGGAGTAGACTTACTTTCTCACCAGCAGCACAAGGAAAATTGTCTCCAAATTTATTTAATTGCTTATCAGTTAAAGACATACTATGTTTTGAGGTCCCTTCTTTCTTGTTTACATCAAACTTCTGAGGACAATAAATGTTCACAGATCAGTATAGTGTCAAAATTAAATCACAAATTCTGATGAGAAACTTACGTCATTGGCTTCATCAGGAAAAGATAATCGACAAATGTGGTCCAAGATCCAGTGAAAATTTTCATCAGTCATGGAACATGTTTTGATTAGTCTGTCCGTAGCTTGTAAGCTATTAAGACACCTATGACAAATGTAGAGAGGCAGGATGTCTTTGGGTGTGACAGCAATTGATAGGTGTTCTTTGATCATATCTAATATTTTACAACTATTGCTCTCATCAGAAAAAAGTTGAATAGCATTTTCATCGTTTTGAGCGCAAATGCGACACAAATTATGAGGTAAATGCCAAATTTCCTCAATAGTATCACTATTTATCAGAGAACAAAACTCAGCTGATTTCTTCAAAATGTCTGTTTTGTAAAGATAGTTATAATTGATAGGAACTTGGTGCATTTGTTCTTCAGCTGTCTCTTGTTGTCTGGCATCTTTGATTACTTCCATGTCTTTGATTGATTTGTCATTAGACTCAACAATCAACAGGAACAGAAAGTGACATAGCGATAGTGTTCCGAGTGTTTGTTGTGAAGCACCAAAACTAAAACAAATGAACTGAGGAGGTTAGGGTTGGTGGGTGATCGACGGCTACTCCCCTGCACCGTGCCCCCACCACTTCTCCATCATAGTCCCTTTTACTCTTGTGATGATGATAATGTTCGGTGCAGTGCGGTGTAAAGACCTCACGAAATTTGTGAAATGAAAAAAAAATTAAAAATTTAAAAAATGCATAATAGCTTCAGACTAATTTTATATTACTATTATTTCTGTGATGTTAGTAATACACTTCAGTGAACTTCTGGAGCTTCTATTAAAAAGGGTAACAACGCTTCATTTGAATTTCATTTATTTATTTAAGTTTTCTTTAAAAATCTATGTACAACTAAAACTGTTCAAATTAAAACGTTTGATCATATTTATGTATTGATAATACATAACTTTCAAAATATTCCTATTATATCAGCATGTTTACCTACAAAACTCAAATATCAATAAAATGAAAGAAAATTCACATAAAATTGCACCACACTAAGTAACACTTTGGAATCACAATAACATATCAAATAGTCAATAACGAAGAAATTACTGATGAAAAACATTTAACATTTACATGACAATCACACACCCAATATAGAAGCCATACAACCTTAAGATCAAGAGTGAATCAGTCTTTACATTCAATGTATACCACTTAAGTGCTAAGCATTTAGATGTACTCTGCTGGCAAAAAATAAGATCAATCACTCATGGCACTTGAATTTGAAATGTGTAGTTAAATTTAGGACTATTTGATCTGTGAATATAAGGAGGAATAATAAAAAGTATGATAGTAGGCGGGTGCTGCTACTATCACTACTGGTTGCTTGCTATTATGCTAGGATAAACTGAATAATGTGACTTAACTTCAACAACAGACATACAAAGGACAATTTTCAAGAGCCAACGTGCTCACTTGAGAGCCTGATGCACATTAAATATTTCCAATTACGAAATAGAGAAGAATGAAAACGAAAGTTCTCTTATTTTTAAGCATGACGAGGCACACCACAATGAGAATGACTATTTGAAACACTCACTTCAATCTACATTGTTACAAGAGTAAATTTCTAAGCAACTGTACATAGTAAGCCCTAAAAGAAAGTGGAGGAATAATCAGTTGATTTACAAACACATTCGTAAATTAGAAGAGTGACTACAATTTATATACCATATAAAACAAAGCAGGAGCTTTCATATCAGATAAAATACATACATGTAACATACATACATACATACATACATAGAGGCTGTACATATAAACACAAGTTAGGAAAACAAACTAAAGATGATAGACCACAAATAAGAACCCAATGCATATTTAAAAGAATGAAAAAAAATAAAAAATGAATTGATTACAGATGACATCTTAGGCTACAACTAAATGTAAACAGTGAAATAATCTTCTCATGAATAAAGTACCGCTATTTACTTCATAAAAAGAATGAAAAAAGGAATTTTAATAAATTTATGAGCAGGCAACCTCTTGCTTAGATGATTTTTCTGCAACAAAAAATTAAAAAGAATATACATTATTCTAGTTTTGAATGGTATTATAGTCATGTGTGTAAGAGTTCCGTGTTCCGAGATGAATCACCGTTCCGCAACATGGCACTGAGATTAATACTTGTTCTTCCTACCACCAAGAAGGTGTCAGAGTTGGCAAAGAACGAGTAAAAAAAACATGGGAGAGGGAAACAGGCTTACGCAAGGAGCAAAAACCACATGTAAGAATAAATTATGCGGCTTCAAAGGAAGATAAACTGTAAGGCAGCACACAAAAGAACAAAACAAGAAACTTACCGGTAATTAAAAGTCTTATCACACACAGTGCAGGTAAATGTACGATGATTTAGCCGATGGATTCTTAAACCATCTTGAAGCTTAAAGCTTTTCCCACATATGTCACATAGATGGGGAGAGTCTGGATTATGTCTCAGCAAATGGGCAGCATAAGTTGATTTTACAGAAAATCTTTTTCCACATTCATGACAGACATAGGGTTTCTCTGCATTGTGACGCTGAGCATGAGACATCATTTGCTGTTTTGTTCGAAAACCTAATCCGCAGTGATCACATACGACTGGTTTCTCTCTCGTATGTATTCTCTCATGTTCAATTAGATGCCATTTTGATTTTAAGGACTTATCACAGAATCTGCACTTTAAATGAGTTACTTTGTGCTCAGCAAAATCTTCTTTTACATGTGTGGAATAGTCGCAATCAGGACATTTCAATTTTTTTTTTAATTTAGCTCTTGGCTTTCTTTTTCTTTTTATCTTACATTCAGTTGGTTCCTTTGAATCAGTCACGGTAAGTGAAGATTCACCATCAACCTGATCTTCAGCATGGTTTACTTGTTTTGCATTAGGCTGTTTTTTTCTTTTTTCTTTGACTTTGGTAGTCTTTTTTGGGCCAGTTATGAGAGCTGTTATAGATTCAGCCTCATTTTGACATTCAACTTGCTGCACTTGCTCTTCAATTGGCCTTTTCCTTAATTTCCTACGTTGGGCTGGCTCCTTTGGGCCAGTCAGCAGTAAAGATTCACCTTTAATCTGGTTTTCAACTTGTTGTGTATTTTCTTCAACTGTATTTCCCTTTCTTTTTCTTCCGCCTTGAGATGGCTCTTTAGCCCCGATCGTGAGAAGAATTGAAGATGAAAATTTACAGTCATTCCGATTTCCGGTTTGATTGATCTGCTCTTCAATATTTTGCTGAATGATTTCTGTATCCTCAATTTCTTCAAAGATGCTATTTTCAGAACTTGAGCATGTTGAATGTGCTGCTGGAGATTCAGGCATTGCACAAACTATCTCACTACCCTTCTCCTCCTTTCTTTTGTAAATAGGATGTGCACTCATTGACTTTAGTACATCCTGAAAGATGCTAGTATTTTCCTTTGTAAGTTTGACAACTGTCACACAATTGCTCTTGATCTGAAAAATTAATAGAATTATATGATTTCAGATTTCAAATGGTTTGAAAGAAAAACTGGTCATAGATTTTTGGAGTAGACTTACTTTCTCACCAGCAGCACAAGGAAAATTGTCTCCAAATTTATTTAATTGCTTATCAGTTAAAGACATACTATGTTTTGAGGTCCCTTCTTTCTTGTTTACATCAAACTTCTGAGGACAATAAATGTTCACAGATCAGTATAGTGTCAAAATTAAATCACAAATTCTGATGAGAAACTTACGTCATTGGCTTCATCAGGAAAAGATAATCGACAAATGTGGTCCAAGATCCAGTGAAAATTTTCATCAGTCATGGAACATGTTTTGATTAGTCTGTCCGTAGCTTGTAAGCTATTAAGACACCTATGACAAATGTAGAGAGGCAGGATGTCTTTGGGTGTGACAGCAATTGATAGGTGTTCTTTGATCATATCTAATATTTTACAACTATTGCTCTCATCAGAAAAAAGTTGAATAGCATTTTCATCGTTTTGAGCGCAAATGCGACACAAATTATGAGGTAAATGCCAAATTTCCTCAATAGTATCACTATTTATCAGAGAACAAAACTCAGCTGATTTCTTCAAAATGTCTGTTTTGTAAAGATAGTTATAATTGATAGGAACTTGGTGCATTTGTTCTTCAGCTGTCTCTTGTTGTCTGGCATCTTTGATTACTTCCATGTCTTTGATTGATTTGTCATTAGACTCAACAATCAACAGGAACAGAAAGTGACATAGCGATAGTGTTCCGAGTGTTTGTTGTGAAGCACCAAAACTAAAACAAATGAACTGAGGAGGTTAGGGTTGGTGGGTGATCGACGGCTACTCCCCTGCACCGTGCCCCCACCACTTCTCCATCATAGTCCCTTTTACTCTTGTGATGATGATAATGTTCGGTGCAGTGCGGTGTAAAGACCTCACGAAATTTGTGAAATGAAAAAAAAATTAAAAATTTAAAAAATGCATAATAGCTTCAGACTAATTTTATATTACTATTATTTCTGTGATGTTAGTAATACACTTCAGTGAACTTCTGGAGCTTCTATTAAAAAGGGTAACAACGCTTCATTTGAATTTCATTTATTTATTTAAGTTTTCTTTAAAAATCTATGTACAACTAAAACTGTTCAAATTAAAACGTTTGATCATATTTATGTATTGATAATACATAACTTTCAAAATATTCCTATTATATCAGCATGTTTACCTACAAAACTCAAATATCAATAAAATGAAAGAAAATTCACATAAAATTGCACCACACTAAGTAACACTTTGGAATCACAATAACATATCAAATAGTCAATAACGAAGAAATTACTGATGAAAAACATTTAACATTTACATGACAATCACACACCCAATATAGAAGCCATACAACCTTAAGATCAAGAGTGAATCAGTCTTTACATTCAATGTATACCACTTAAGTGCTAAGCATTTAGATGTACTCTGCTGGCAAAAAATAAGATCAATCACTCATGGCACTTGAATTTGAAATGTGTAGTTAAATTTAGGACTATTTGATCTGTGAATATAAGGAGGAATAATAAAAAGTATGATAGTAGGCGGGTGCTGCTACTATCACTACTGGTTGCTTGCTATTATGCTAGGATAAACTGAATAATGTGACTTAACTTCAACAACAGACATACAAAGGACAATTTTCAAGAGCCAACGTGCTCACTTGAGAGCCTGATGCACATTAAATATTTCCAATTACGAAATAGAGAAGAATGAAAACGAAAGTTCTCTTATTTTTAAGCATGACGAGGCACACCACAATGAGAATGACTATTTGAAACACTCACTTCAATCTACATTGTTACAAGAGTAAATTTCTAAGCAACTGTACATAGTAAGCCCTAAAAGAAAGTGGAGGAATAATCAGTTGATTTACAAACACATTCGTAAATTAGAAGAGTGACTACAATTTATATACCATATAAAACAAAGCAGGAGCTTTCATATCAGATAAAATACATACATGTAACATACATACATACATACATACATAGAGGCTGTACATATAAACACAAGTTAGGAAAACAAACTAAAGATGATAGACCACAAATAAGAACCCAATGGATATTTAAAAGAATGAAAAAAAATAAAAAATGAATTGATTACAGATGACATCTTAGGCTACAACTAAATGTAAACAGTGAAATAATCTTCTCATGAATAAAGTACCGCTATTTACTTCATAAAAAGAATGAAAAAAGGAATTTTAATAAATTTATGAGCAGGCAACCTCTTGCTTAGATGATTTTTCTGCAACAAAAAATTAAAAAGAATATACATTATTAAAAGCATTTTCAGTTTTAAATTGTTTACATTGGTGCTTTAATTTTTCAAATGACGTTGCTCATTGATTGAGAACTTTGAGATACGTTCGTGATGAGAAAAGATTGGAGATCTGTCAATCCTAAAAGATCCTAGGCCCTCACCCATGTCCGTAGAGACTGATTACTGAGTCTGAATGAAAGATTTAACTCTGTAGGTCTAAGTTTCAAGTTAGCAATGTAGTCTGATCTGTGATAGTCCACACTATTTGTCAGTTTCTGAGTTTGTAACAAGTCTGAAGTCCCAACAAGGAGGTTAAGACAGTGTTCCCTGGGTGACTCAATGGGCCATGGTCAAACTCAAATTCGTGTCACGTTATGCTGCATTTGAAAGCATAAACATCTATATAATTAAAATGGACCACCCACACACCGAGTAAGCATCTGGATATAGCCCATTTCAACATACCTATCATCAGTCCCTTGAAAGGAAGTCTTGGATAGGCAACCCATTCTACTCCAGCCGAGAACTGTTGAGAAGAGTGCAGAGATCCTAAAGACTGAAGGCCAGCACTCAGTTGCAGTAGAAGGGGATGCCTACCCAAAAAAAAGGAACAGACCATGGGCGCCACAATAGTTTCTCAGGATACAGTCTGGATTGTTTGAGGATTAACTTCTGTCCTCCAAAGGAGGTACAAGCAGGGGACAGTCAACAAGAAAACGTGGTTGGTGAGGAATAGAATATGGGAGAGACATCAAGCACTCAGTTCAAATTGGTGGTCAAGATGGCTAATTACAAATTGAGGCAAGATAGAAAAATTTAAAAAGCTGGAGAAGCTCCCAAATGGAGATGCAGAGTGAAAAAATACCAAAAATTGACTTGTCAATGTTCATCTTTCAAGTTAAGAAGAGTTAAGTTTTTTCACCTACAAGAGCAAAAGCAGGTTTACAAATATTAAAACAATCCTTCAGAACTTAGCAGAATGGACACTAACAATTTCACTAATAAATAATTCAGCTCATCAGATACAAGACTAAGCCCAACAGTAATCCCATCATTCACAGCCAAATACACAACTTGTTTTGCCTTGCCTATCAACCTCATATTGTGACACCCCATGTCTACCTTTCCGGAAAAAAGGAGCGTTTTATATAACCAAAGGAAAATCCCACAAGCCATTTTAATAGTGAAAGATGTGAACCTGACAGGTGAAAAATTGATAAGAAATCAATAATCCACCTCTAACCACATACCTGATAACTAATGTAAACAGAAAGTTATTTGTTGAAAAGACATCATCAATGCTTCCACTTTGTTTCATATTTATTTATGTTGTAAAAGTTGTCTACTTGTATTAATCAATTCTGTCAAACTATTGATGACAATTTGAAAGTATACAGAAATTAAACCATTCTTGGAAACATGATTTACCATACAACAAATATGCCTTTCTATAAAATCTCCTAAGCACTACACTATACAAAGAAATAACCTGGAATCTTTTGCCCTCAATGACCTGGACCAAGATATACCATGCTCACTGAGACCTTACTCTCACCTCTAATGCTAATGCATGCATCCATGCTTTTAACATCGAATTCATTTCCTGCCTCTGTATTTCCCTGAATTTCATGAACAGCTGACCACCTCATCTCTTGCCTGCCTTCGCTCCTCTCGCATCATTTTCCGGGCCTCCAGACGTGCTATGAGAAAATTCAAGTAGGGAATGAAAGTTTCTACATAAAAGATTTATGAAAGGTATAGTTTTGAGAAAGTTTGAGCACTAACCAAGACAAGATATCCTCACTTACCTTCTCTTTCACGTCTTCTTAACTTTTTTCTTCTACGATCAATACAGGCAAGCTGCTGTTTAACGTTAGCGTATGTTTTCCGTAAATCTTGAAGAGTTTGTTGCAAAAGAGCAATGCGTTGTGAAGCGTCAAGTTCTGGAGCTGAAAACAGAAAAATATGTATAATAGTGATCACAATATATAAATAAAGTAAGTATAGACACATGTTTCCATATCATATTTCGTAAAATAATGTACCTAATTCAACAAAGAAGTTGTACTTAGATGGGCGAGGTGATCTTGCTGACTGTGAGTGAGAATTAACACTTTGTGCAGAAACAGAGGCAATCTGAAGAGTTGAGGACTGACTGGGAGATTGAGATCGACCTTGGGATGTTGGTGTAACTGTGACTGGATTTTCTGGACCATCATCACTATCACTACCAGCACCTGAAACATTATGTCCATGGAAGTAGATTAGATTATTTTAAAAGCAGATATTGATTAGAAATGCGCAATTTACAATTTGGTCAATTAATTATATTATAACAAATTTTCAGGGGTCCATAACTTATTGCATAAGCGAATTTTAGGTATCTGTATCTTGTAAACGGCTTGCGTTATTGGCGTTATGCATCTTATGACTTGTTCTCCTGCGCATTTCTGAAATTTGTCATTATATGCATGCTTTTAACTAGTCAATAACGCGAGATAATGATCAAACGTTTAGCTTACATGATAAGTTACGGACCCCTGCAAATTTTACTGTAAGATAAAATAGTGTTTCACAGATAGATACTTTGCTTAAAACTCAATACTCTTTAAAGATATGTTTTTCTATCCAGGAACAATGCACAGCTGCATTGTCCCAGGACAGAAATTAACCAAACATACATATATCTTACCTTGATTAGGCAATCGACTTGCTGTGTGTCTTGGTCTTTTAATTCTATCTTCACTTTCAGAACTCTTGCGGCTGCGTCGCCTCTTTTTGTTGGAGGCTGGACTCATTCTTACAGAGTCAGTGTCACACCGATTCTTGTCTCGATCATTGTCTTTCTTTTCAGATAAGGCAGCCATTCTCTTTAAACGAGACCCAACATCTAAATCTGTAAGACAAGTAAAAATTAAGATTATTTATGTGATCAAATTTAACTCACAAATACTACAACATAAAAAACTTACCATCATCACTAAAATCATTGTCTTTGTTCTCCGCGTCTTCTGAATCCCGATGAGATTTGGAACTATCATTATCAAGTATGGAAAGTGTATCTCCATGCTCCCTGCAAATTAAAAAAAAAGCAAAATTAGACCAAAGTAAAAAATTTATCACAGCTTTTTTTCCAAGGCGCATAAATTTGTATGGTAATTGCACAATGCCCACATCAATACAATTATTATCTTACCCTCGTGGAGAGTTTGAGATTGTTGATATACTGCTATCTGGTGTGGTTGGTGGAGTGTTATCCATGACTGGTGCAGCCTCATTGGCAGGGGCAGAGGGACCCGCTTTAGGAAGACCAAGGTCAGCTACAGGATGTTCGATTTTTTCTCCAAGAACTGATGGTTTAGTAAACTGTGTGGTAGTCGGATTAGTTGACGTACTGCAAATAGAATAAAAAGTTTTGATCATCAATAATCAGAATAACTTGTAGGACATTTTGTAAAAACAGAACATTAGCAATATACAGTATCAGTACACAAAAAGAAAAAAGACACTTACCTTGGCCCTGAGGAGCGAGTATTTCCAGGCACACTGGCAAATGGCATTTCCAAAACTTTGCAAGAGGCTTTAGTATTCTCAAGTGGTCGATCTGATGATATCGATGAATTTGGTTCAGAATGAACATCAACAGGAGCTTCACACGGAGGTGCAGGGGAACCAGGAATAGTTTCCTCACATAGAAGAGAGCACAAATTATTATCCACTTCTAGCTCTTCAGTTTCCTCTATCTTTATCACAGATGATAATTCATCCATGGTTACATCTCCACTTGGATTTCCAGAGAGCTGATCCTTTGACTTTGGTACAGTAATATCTTCTTTCCTTGGAGAAGCAGTTTTCTGTTGCTCAATATTTGATTCGCCCGGCTGCAAGGAGAAATCGATTATTAGTATATTTCAGTCATAAGTATTTAGCACTACTACTTGCATTGTAAATTTAAATGTACAAAATTTTAACAGGTATAAATATTTAATTAGAGTTACACTTTACTAAGATGAATTATTTAACACATTTCTTAACTGTGTACTGTGTGATTTAAAGCAGACGCCGCAATGTTGCAAGATTGCATGCATACCCTCTAGGCTGCTGGGGCCAATGGGCAGGCATACCCGTAACACTGCGGAGTCGCACCCACAGTATACGTTGCACATTAAGTGCACATGTGCAGCTTTTTCAAGTTCTTTTGAGTTATCATTCAGACAAATCCTCAATGTTAGAATTTTCTGTAGTTTTGAATTTTACTTATCATGGACAACATGACCTCAGAATTGAAATACAGATACTATAAAAACTAAACATTTGTAGTGAAATATGATACCAACCAAGCATACCTTTATAACTCCTGGCCATTTCAGCTCATTTTCTCTTACTGGAGGCTGGGGCTTAGTTTCAATGGCTTCATTACAAGAATCACTAGACTCAGACTTGTCAATAACTAATCTTCGTTCTTCATCACTACTGTCAGAATCTGAATCTTCAACAAATTCTTTACTAACAGCTTTCTTACGTTTTAACTGTGTCTTCCTGCGGCCTGCTTTCCTGGGAGACTCATCTTCAGTCAGATTGTCAAGCTGCTCATCAATCTCCGGAGTTTTCGATCTTGTTGGAACCGCTGTTGGTTGAGGGTTGCTAATATCAACAGGAATAACTTCAAGTAAGTTCTCCTTCTTGATCTGAGGCATAGGTACATCCTTTGTTTCAGTTTTGGCAGGTTCTTGAATTAGCTTGGATGCTGGGACAGCCATAGGCAAGAGCTGAGGAGGCTCTGGTGAAATCCTACCAGCCAAAGGAAGGTGAGGTACTGTTGCAACTAATGGTGGTATGCTGTCATCTCTTTCAGTTTTTATAATATTGGTGTTTTCCTCATCTTTACTTGCCTCGGATTTTTCCGGTTGCTGCCTACTCTTAAGCCAATCGTCTGTCTTAGTTATAACACCAGCTTCAGATGGCATCTTAACAGCTGCAGCCAATACTGGGGGACGAGATGGAGAGAGGGATGCAGACGCACTTAAAGTTGGTGGTGTAGGTTTTACTCCTGCAACAGACTTACTTTCTTGAGGCAATAATATCTTCTGGGTAGGAATGGGAGCTGCCAGAGTCTTGGAAGATGGAATAGCTACTGTGGATTTAGACTGTGTTGTAGATATAATTTTTGTGACAGTTGATGAGTGAACAGCAATAATGGAGGAAGATGGTAGAACAGGGGGTCTGCTAGAAGGGATAGAGGTGCTTGTTGTTATAACACTTGAAGAAGCAGAACACAATTGTGGAGGGCTTTGTAAGGGAACTGGAACTGGAGACAAACATAAAGGAGTTGGAGTGGGGACTCTAATAGGGCTGCCGGATGAAAATCGATAACTTGGAGACTGACGTAACTTTTCAAAGGCATCATCTGATGACGTAGAGAATATTTTTTTCTGAGGTGTAACTGGTTCTATTTTATCATTGCTTGCTTCATTAGTAGGAGACTTAGCTTCAAGCTTGATTTCAGGTTCGTCCTTTTTACCACTAACAACAGGACGACGGAACCTCTTCTTGCTGGGGGATCCTCCATCTTCAGAGCTTTCTGTATCACTTGGATTGGGCTTTGTTACTTTCTTTTTGGCAGCAGGTTCAGCCACATCATCAAAAATCCGAGGCAGCGGTCTTTTCTGCAGTTTACCAGTACGTTCTACTGAAGGCTCTCTTTTAGTTCGAGCTTCAAATTCAAATGGTTCTGGTTCCTTAAATTCATAAATATCTTCCATGTCAGTAGCTGATTCTTCTTGTTCAAGCAATGTTGAGGCTTTCTCTTCAAGGAGATTGGTTGTGTCAAGGTCAATATCAGGATCAGGCTCAGTGTCTGAACCAGCCTGATCTTTATCATCATCAGTTGTGCAAGACGTCTTCACGGCCTTATCAATTCCTTTCAATTCAGACCGGATTTGGTTTAAATCAAAGTCTCGTCCCTTATTCAAAGGAATTGGAGGAGTTTCTTCATCTTCCTCAGGCTCTACTTTCACCTCATTTTTACGGTCTACAGCACTTCGTGTTCCTTTTCTTGTTCTCTTCATTGGAACCTACAAAAAAAGAAAGAGTTTTAAAACTACATAAATTCTGGCATTTGAGACAAAACACATTTTCCGAGGGTTCAAAATGGAAAAATTCGTTCTAACTGGCACACAGAACAACCCTATGAAAATTTTAACTACCAGAGTCTTTTAAATCAGTATAAACCTCTCAAAATACTAAAGCATATTTTGTTCTTGTTTTAGTTTGAAGCAATAAGTTTCTAGAGTAGTAATGCAATATTTAAGGGGAAGGGGTGGGTGATGATAGTTTTCCCCTCACTTTTCCATTTGGACCAGCATAGATGACGAATTTACGGTTACTTTATTTCAGTTTCACAAGCTATAAAGTATGAATTATTATGATGAAAACTACATTACCTTCCCTTCACTGGGTGATTCACTGGACACATCATCCTCATCCTTGACATCATCTTTCAAGTCATCTTTCTCAACTTCCTTATCTTCTTCATCATCAACCTCAATATCAGTTTCACGTTTCTTCAGCTTCTTTTTGGATGAGCTATCCTTTCTTGAAGAATCTTCGTCTCTTTCAGATGCAGTGCGTCTTGTGCTTTTCCGCACACTTGAAGGTTCCGCCTCACTCTCTGACTCACTGTCATCACTATCTGACTCTGATGGAATATCTAAAGAACCAACAAATGAAGAGTATTAAGACCTCAAACAGAGAAGGGAAGAAAGCGTGAAAAACTCAGTTTGAAATACCTGTTTGACCACTGATCCGTCGCGTCCTTGTCCGTCTTGTCATCAGTTCTGCTGGCTGATGGGATGAATCCCCAATAGTGTTCCTTGTCACACGTGCAGAACCTGGTCTCATTGCAGGTGATTTCGTTCTGCTTGATGAAGATGTGACTGATGAAGGTGTTGATGAACGAGGGGGTTGAGAGTCACGTGACTTTTCAACACCTGGAAGCGATGGTAAAGACTGGTCCTTCTGAAGAGGGGATGCAGAATCTCGAGCAGGTGTCAAAGTGCGTTTCTTGGTTGATGACTTTTTGACACTTGCAAGCTGTGTTTGATGGCGCCTTTTACCACGTGCAGGAGACCAACTAAGATTATCAGCTATTCTTGAACGTTTGATCCACTCATCATATCGGTTATTCCACCCAGTGTAATGAACAAGAAATGTTTCATCTTGGCCTTCTCCCTCTACCTCCAAAACTTTAGCTTCATAGGTAACTTTTGACTCGTGAGTTGGTCCATAATAGACTTTTAATTTATCGCCAATACACACATTTTTGTAATTTGGTAGTAAATCTAGACTGTCATCAACAGAGCTACTACCTACATCTTCATTATCTTTACGTTTACGAACCTGTTGCTTTCGCCTGTCTTCATCTCCTCTTCTGGATTTAGAGTTACCTCTCTTTTCTGAATCTCCAGAGTCAGACTTGGAAGATTTTCTATCACTGTCTCCAGCAGAAGACAGTCGACTTGATTCAGATGTGTTATTCTTACGGTCACTGTCATGGACTTTAGTTTTCCTGTCTGAATCATCTCTATCTAATTCAGATGGCCGTGAGATTCTTTCTTTCTTTCTTTCACTGTCTATGCGAGACACTTTTTTAGTTGGATCAGCAGTAAGTGAAGGTCGCACTTTCTTTCTTTCTGGGTCTGCTGTGAGTGAGGGGCGAATTTTCTTTTCTGAATCAGCACCACTTTGGCGATTTTTCTTCTCAGTATCATTGCTGGATTTTTTCCTTTCTAGAGTTGCTGTAAGTGATGGTCTTATTTTTTTTTCATTCTCACCCACTGAATAGGTGCGAGATTTTTTATCACTATCTGATGTGGTCATATCCTTTTTATCGGTATCCAAGCCTTTACCTTTTTTTTCAAACTCAGCAGCCAGAGACCGGACTGTTTTGCGATCACCATCTTGTGTAGCCTTACCCTTTTTATCTGATGTTGAGAGGGATGGTCGACCAATTTTCTTTTCAACTGTAGCTGTTAATGATGGTTTGATTCTTTTCTCCACACTTTCAGTAGACCTTGACTTCTTTTCTACTTCAGCACAGGGCTTTTGTTCACTTTTGGGTTTGGAGAATTCCTCTTTAGACTTGGATCTGGTAGTTGTAAGCTAAAGGGAGGAGAGGAAACAAATGGTTACACAATGTTCAAATAGTTCCTGTATAAGCAGGAGAAAATCTAAAAGATGTACGACATAACAATAACAGGAGCAACAAAAATCCATAATGGAACACAGAATAAATACCTTATCTTCATCATCCTCATCAAGGTCCTCAACATCTAGCATGTCAGATTCCTCCTCTTCATCATCGTCCAAAACTCTTTTTACCTTTGGCACAACGATTTTCTTCTTGACATCTATACCAGATTTATTTCCTGGGGTATCTGTCAATCTCTTGGGTTTACCTCTTGGGGTATTTACCTTAAGTTGAGGATCCGATGGTTTGCGCTCTAGTGGTGGAGGGCCAAGAGGCAGTTTGGTAACAACCTCAACATCCCTGCCTGTGAAAATAAACCCAATTTACAGTACATTTTAATATTAAATCGCTGAAATACAAATTAAGTGATTGCAGTACCTTCTTTCCGTTTCAAAATGTCTTCATCCTTTTCATCAGCACTCAGTTCAATACCCTCTTCACTCTTTTCTGATGGTTCATCATCATCATCTACAGTATCAGAGCCTTTATCCTAAAAATTTACGGGTGGGTAAAATATCTTTGAGACATGAAACAAGCAACATTAGGGGTAACAGTGTAAATGTTACTGCTTCTTACCTTGTTATCACTCTGAGGGACATTGACTGGAGTAGACCGATCTTTATCTCGAATAAGGCTTCTTCCCCCTCTATGACGAACTTTATTCCCACGTGGATGATTCACCATTGTGCATCCTAATTTTCTGTAGAATTCTTCAAAACTCTGAAGGTACTTCTTATAAGCACCTTTAACCAGGTTTGCAGTGTTGGAAAATTGACCAAAACCCAATTTGTGCGAAACCATCTTCCATTGATTGTGATTAGTCACTCGATTACAGCCTCCAGCCTTGTGCACAACCTAACAAAGTCATTGAACATTAATGTAGCTGACTAGATTTTAAAAACAAATCAAAGTTTACAAGATTTTACAAGAGCCGCTTTACCTTAAATAATTTGTAGAGATCAATATCTTTGCCAGATATTGCTGGCCCACGATTAATAGGAGTTCCACTATCATCCATAAACTTATACAGCTGAGCCACAAAATGATCTTTTTCTTCTCTTGGCTCATCATCTGAACTGTCAGAATCAAATGCTGCATCACTATCAGAAGCTGTTGAGGCTTCATCCAAACCAAACAGCAATTCCCGGTCCCAATGAGGAGGAAGCTCATCCTTATCCAAGTATTGCAATGCTTTGTCCACAGCTGAAAGGAACAAGACAATTTATAACACCCACTTCCCTCTTTTAGTTAGTGAGATAAGATATTATCTGACTGGTACTCACCTGTTTTCAAAGTATTGTTGTCAACTTTTAAACCAACTTCTCTGGTAAATTCACTAGCTTCTTTTTTTGGAACGGTAAAGCTAGAAATGTCAAAAAAATATACAATATCAACAATTTAGTTTAAAGACTTACTACAGAGAGTTACAGCTAAATTGCACAATATCACTCACTATCTTCCATCTTTAAAAGATCGCACTAAATATTCATCTTTAACTCTGATGCGGACAACCTCTTGAGCAGCAGGGTGAACAACTAGACCAGGAAACCAGTTATCTTTCTGCTTTTTCTTGTCTCCAAGTTCAACACACACAACTTTGCCTATATCTGCCTCTTTTTCTTCTTTAGATTTCCCTTTCCTTGGTTCTTCCTCCTCTTCACTACTTTCATCACTCCTAATATTTGAGGGAAAAGATGTAGTAGTGTATGTATCTTAAGAATTCAAGTAAACCAAATAGCTTAGAAAAATGTCTATTATAATCTGAAACTCACATTGGATTTCTGCTTCTTCTCCCGCCTCTTCTGCTCCCAACAACTGGATTACCAAAATGCTCAGGGTGAGTTAGAGGTAGTTGGTCCAAAGTTTCACTTTCAGCAAAATGCCTTCCACTTTTTAAGCACAAGGCCGTTCTTCTTAATGTGGTTATATCACCATCATCAAACACAACAGTATATTGACTACAATCCTGAATTTTAGTGATGCATGCTTCAACAAACTCTTTTCTGTCAGGGTGCTTAGCTTCAACAACAGAACCAACCTAAAAAAATAATTATTGATCAGTGCCTTTTGGCAAGTAAAAACAGTTTTACCTTGTTTACTTTTAAAAGAAACATGTTTCTTTTTAACCACATACCCTCAATGTTCCACGGATTTGATCATCTGTTACTATAGCAGACCCTCCAACTTTAAAATTGACCTAGTTTAAAAAAAACAAAACAGGTAAGCTATATGAATTGAATATGAAAAAAAACAAAAAACATTAGGTTGATAGCTGACAAGCATTTACCTTGCACTTGACACTTCTCACAACTTTTCGGACTTTTGCTTCACAGAAGGCACCTTTATACTTGGCACTTACTTCTGTGCCAACAACCAAGTAAGGTGGATCGTCCCCCTGGGTAAGAGACATTGTATCTTTAGAACCATGCAACAGCATAGAATACTGAGTGCACAATACTACTCCTCCTTACAGAGACAATATTGAAGAAAACAGCAATGGAAACACAAAAAGAAGAAAAAAATTAAAAAAAGCTTGATTTGAGTTAAAATATTATATTCTATAAGAAATAAAATCCTAGTCAAGGTGTCCCTCTGTACAACTGTATTAAGTTCAATCATACTTAACAAGTGCTCATCTAGTCCTAAAGTTATTGGAAACTTTGTGAAGATCAAACCCCTACTTACCATGACACCCTGATTATTTGGCCAACGCAACATGAAGACTGTTTAATAGAATTTGGCCATAACAGGAAAAGAAATATGAAGAACAGGTCCTGTAAATAAAAAAAAAAAAAAATTCAAGTAAAAAATATTGTAATTGACAAAACACATTACAATAAAGGAAAGGCCAGGAAAAATACCAGTTTAGATAAAGAAATTGATCAATGACTCCACGTTCCACAGAACATCAGTAATGCTTACACTCTCGAACTTAAAGACCAAAAGTTGAGTGAATCTTTAACATTAATAAAGCTACTAGATAAAATCGAAAACAAAAGTCATTAAAATAATGAAAAGGGTGCTACATTTCAGAAAGCTATGGAAAGTTTTCATATGTAGGGTTACATGACGCCATTAGTTATTTATAAAGTACGATTTCCATACAACCTAACTCCAAAGGGGGTTGATGAAAATGTCACAAGGCACCAAAACATAGGTAATAAATCAACGCCTATACTCAATTCATAGGTTATTCACGGTGGAGACTGAATTAGGTGTTTACTTTCAACGTATCGCAGAAGACGTCAAACATTCTGCAAACCCAAGCTCTAGTGCAGTTAAGTGAATCATAACAACTTACTCCTAGCGCCACTCAAATACGTGTGGTTGGAGAATCTCACAACAGTGATAGACTTTGTTAATCTCGACTAAATTCAAACCAAAACAATTGTTTTTCAGCTGCTTTGATTCAGGGACTGCCGTTGCCCTCCTTTCGTGCTTACAGCACTTTCCTACAACCAAAGTGAAGCACAGGGTGCGTTCCAGACCATCAACTGGAATCCTTGAAAGCGGCACCCGCGCATTTTAGCAAACTCTACTCGAGCCAGACCTAGGACCTCGGACCTCGACTAGCAGCCTATGACCTATCCGTTATTTTAGTATGTCTCCACATTAATAATTTAAAAATTGAAGGCGTAGAAATATTACCAAAAACTTGCTACTGTTGTTTCAATCACAAAAAAAACAAAAAAAACAGAAGAAAAGTGCACTTTCCTAATCCTATTTCTGCCGGGTGTCTGAGCTTCTTGACCATTCATACGATTGGACCAAGGACCAAACTGAGCGGGGAACGCGCGGAACCGGAGCCGGACCACGACCGCGATCACAGTGACAGTGTAGTGAAGGAGTGGAGAGAGTGGTGAAATCTACTGCGAAATTTTAAGAAAGTACGTCACTACCACCTGTTCGATGCTACGTATTAACGATCTAGATGACGATTTTTACATGGAATGATCTTTTTAAATGTTTATAATATGATAAAAATGTGCTTTTGTAACATTTGTACTTTGATCACACCATAACCTCCTCCTAGTACACAATTAAAATCGTTTGACTCAATTTCTCTGAATTAGTACTTTTACTTTGTCGTCAATTTCATATCATTTTTTATTTTTCCATAATGCCGTAAAGTCTCTTATTACTTTGCATCGTTCTTGTGACAGTATCAAGTGCAGACAGACCAGGGTATTCCCCTCTTGTTCTTGTTTCCTCCTCCCTTCCTGTTTCCTATACCTATAGGTCCACTATGAAATTAAATGTTCTTTTTTTTTATCGACAGGTCTAGCCAATGTTGTATGTTTGTAGACTGATTAGTGTTGCTATTTCTGCCCAGGTTTGATTGAATATGGAGCATCAAGATAAATTGCCAGGAAGGGTACGGGAACAGCGAGACACAGGAAGAAGTAGAGCCTCAAATGAAGATCCTGGCCAATTTAGTCATGGACCCAGGATGGCGAACACATACTATCAAGGTATACCAGGTGATGTGTTTGCCTGGAATGTTTCACCAGCATATTCTTGGAGTTTTCCAGCTTCTTATGAACCTGCACCTGTATGCACCAATTGTTTCGTACTAGGGAGTGAGCTAAATTACTTTAAAAACTCTCACCGAGAGATTTCTTTAATGCTGACTTCTAAAGTTCAAGAAATTGAAAAACGCGATTGTGAGCTTACTTTATGTCATAATCAGATTTCTTATCTGAAAAATGAGGCAGAAAAATATAGGGAAAAATGTTTAAATCTTCAAGAGCTTTTGGAGAAAAATGCATCTTCTGTAAACAGTTATTATAGACTTGAAGAGAGAGATTCATTTGCTGACAATAAGTTAACTGTGTCTGAAGATGAAAATTCAAACTTGGTCAAAGAATTTTCCTCTGTGTGTGTTGAAGTCTCCCATTCTACAGACATTTCTGAGGAAAGTTTTGAAGGCTCATTACCGACTGTAAGTCTCTTATCTTGCGTTATCTATTAATTTTGCATGTTTCTAGATTGTGTAGAATTGAAGTATTAGTAATGTTGTTCTTTGATTATTGGGAGCTTTAGTTTTCAGGCTTGCTATTGCTTTTGATAATGTAGTGTACCCAGGTAGCAAATAGTGGTAGAATAGAGCATTCACTGTGCAGTGTGTTTTTAAAACATGAGTGCAGCTTGTATGTCTTTTAACATGCACTGGTGTGCTACCTGGGTAAGTAAACATCCATTAACATGTAGTAAAAATTGATTCAAATCTAATTTATGTAATTGATTGGTAATTTCTAGACCAATTAACATGGTTCTGACTTAAATGATTTGTTAATCTTTTTATCAGTTTATCAAAGGTGAAAAGATAACAGAAATTCCTTCATTTCTTTTTTCAGAGTACTAGTAATTGTTTCATGGACACTTTAAACTATTCATGGCAGGAATCTCCAAGTAAGAGTATCAGTAGTACAGAATCATTTTTGAGAGAAAGTGCAAAACGTGAAGTGTCTTGAAATATGAGGGCTGCTGCTAGTAGGTGTAGCAACGTTGCCACATGTCAGGGAACTGAAAGCCATGCCAGGGTAGAACAGCCAGCAAATTTCTATTGGTTTGCTCAAGTTTTTTTCTTCTTTCTTCTTTTTTTTTCTAGACTTGCTATTTTGAATGACTAGGACATTGCATTGCTTTACTCTTTGCATTGCAAACAATAAACATGTAGCTTTTTTCCCTGCATAGACCCTGTTAAACGCATTTAGACCGCCTATCTTTGCCTTCTCATCAAGGTTGTATTAAATAGTCTAGGAATTTCAATTTTCTGTACTTGTGGCAACCCAACTTGTGAATGATATGCTGATAATTCACCTCAACCTATCAATTTTTTACTTTTTTGTTATTCTTACAGTTATCTGACATATTTTCAATTTACATATGTGGCAGCCCTTCATAGTACATACAACAAATTTGGTGCTTTTCTTCAGTCATTTGTTCATGAATTTAAGTGGTAAAATTTTCTCTTGGACAGGCAAACAACAAAACTCATCCTCAAATAAAAGAGACATTCATCCCAAGAAACAACAACCTAAAAGATCCTCTGAACCGCCAAATCTTCACGGAGAGCCACTAAAGAGAGAGACATTATCTAGGAATGATAGAGATTTTGGTCCCAGTAGGCAACAGCTCCAAAGACCCTCTGAAGAGAAAAGTTCCCTCGGAGGTTCATCAGCAGAGAGCAGGAGTTTGGAAACAACAGTAATAAAAGAAATTAAAAGTGATCTCTTTAAAATGTCTGAAAGTCATGCTTTAGCTCATTGTGTGGGTTCAGACTTTATAATGAGTTCTGGTATTGCTGTTGAATTCAGGTAAGAACATTTAAATCCCACAAAGTTAGTAATCATACAATAGTTATGCCTTTTTGAGTTTTTTTTTTAACTGTATCAACTGATTTCCAGAAAGAAATTCAGGAATATCCCAGAGCTGTTAGACCAAAACAAGAATCCTGGCCAGGTAGCTTTTCTGAAAATTCAGAATTCGGGACAGTACATTTACTATCTTGTGACTAAGCTATGTAGCACTGGTAAACCCAAGTGGGAAGACTTTGAAAAGTCAGTTGTAGAGTGGAAGGACCTGTGCCTTCAACATAAAATCAAGGAAATTGCTATTCCACAGATAGGTTGTGGTCGTGATCAGCTTGACTGGAAGAAAGTCTCTAATCTTCTTAAACAACAGTTTGCAAACACACAGATTGAGATAACAGTTTGCTCAATTGAAGTAAGTACTGTACCTATTTACTTTATAGAAGAACTTTGCCTTTTTTTTTTTTTTTTTTTTTTTTGAAATATCTATTTTTCTCCCTCAAAGATTATTTAAAGATCACAATTTTCTTGCACACAGGCTGAAGGCGCTCCCCCTAAAAAGTGGAACTTATCTCTTGTGCATACTCCAAAACCGCTGTCAGAATTGAACCCAGTTGATTGTGCTCTTGTGTTTATTGCCAGTAAAGATCATTTTATTACTCCAACTATCCAGAGGTTGGTCGCAAAATATGGGTTTGAGTCAGATTATTTAAGCCACAAACAAGGTTCAGGCAGTCTGTACCATACTGTACGTCGTTCGGCCAACATTTTTGGATTAGTCGTGAAAGATCGTCATAATGAAAGCGTATCTTTCTCGGCAATTGGTAAATGCCTTCAGGATTTGAAGAGGGTTGTGAAAAAGTCCAATTTGTGGTATATAGGCTTTGAAGCGTTCGACGATCCAAAGGTTTTGCTTGCTACTCGAAAAGTTTGGACTCTTATAATAGATGCCTTTTTTACTGAAAACATTGAAGTACATTTCTGTTGGCCTGAAGAGGTCAAGGAGAAATGTTGGGAAGATCGAAAATAGTTCCAGCTGTACTAATGTAGACCTAGAAGTGAAGAACTGACTCGCATATACTGGCTTCAGTACTTTCAAAATTGAAAATATTGATGTGCTGTTAATAAAGGTTTCTGTTTTGAAGTAATATTTTCTAAATCCCAATATTATTTGTACAATCCTTACAATGTGTATTATCTATGTATCAAAAACAATCAATATTCTTTTTTTCATGTCAATCCATATAATTACTTGGTGAAGTATGTACTTATTTGTATGACATCCGAGATTTGTATCTGTTATTTGCTTATTTCACAATAATTTTATTTGTATATTATATTTACAAATAAGGGTTCTCCTCGTATTTTTCATTGCACTTCTCCCTGAATCGCTCTTGACCTAAAAGTTTGTGTTTGGACACTGATGAAAATTATTTGCAACACATATTTTTTTATTTCAAAGCTTATACAAATTTGAGTTTGCTCTTTTACATATATACACACACATACCTCATTGATGAGTGACCCTTAAATGAGTTAATCAATGTGATTTGTTTATTCTGTACACAAATTTTGTGCCAACATGATATTTGATTTGTTTTCTAGCAGGTGCCCCATTCAAACACATTCTAAACATTAAATTTCATATGAAACATGCATTAGTTATGAAATAGGTCATACAATGTAATATGTTACCTACTTTATGTACATTATCTAAGGTCACATGGTATCACAAACATTGCGTAAATTTTTGCTGTTTCTACTGAACAACTTTACAGCTTTTCTGACAACATTGACGAAGGCTTTGATTATCCAATTTAATAGTTTTTAATGATTTGTCTCATGAGATGAGGAATGTGTTTAGGCTTTGCCATCTTCATTGAGCATGAAAGTATTTTAAACACAGTTTTCTTTGGAATCTTGGCAGCATTTTGTGGAAATCTGTCAGTCATTTATGTTTAATAACATGTATGTTTATGTATTAATACACTAAATGCAAGTCTTTTCAGTTTGTTTTCTGTAGATATGCATTTTAAGAAAGGTCTGTTTCTTTTAATGCTTCTGCTATTAATACACATGGCTGGTCTTGCTTGCCAACATTTTGGCATTCTTTCAAAGAATGCTACATTTTGGCCTTCTTTTTCATGCAAAACTTTGGCTCTCTCTTAGAGGATGCCATATGTTTTACTATGTGAACTTTTTAAGATTCTCAGAAAGAACCTTTCTTTCCATTTCTGTTGTTTTGATAAATCTCAATCTCATCAATCATGCATGAATGTGTTGTGAGATGCTGAATGTTATTTCCAAAGAGAACTGAAGCAGAAGTTAACTTTCTTTCCACTTCATTTCAGCAGAATGCATAATGTTACACAGAAATTGGCATAGCCTAAAGATTGCCATCAGGCAAATAATCTAACCAGAATAGGGTAGTTGAATATTACTTAATTTCCCAACTTAAGTCTATAGTGTGGTTCAGCTAACAGAGGAAGAAGAAGAAGGGTGGGAAAAACATGAAGATTCCTGATTAGTCAAGCCGTTACCCCTTCTTCTGGTATCACCTAGGGGCGTGAAACTAAAGACCTATCAGAAAGTTAATGTTCCACATGCTATTCTTTTTCCTCTGTTAGCTACCTCACTATTATACATCCCTAGTTTTTTTATTAATCCTCATTTGGTGTTGGTCTTTCCATCTTTAGTGGCTCCTCAGTGAGAAATAATCAATTCTAAAGACATCAATTTGACGTCAATGATCTGATCTTTATGAAAATATAGCCACAAATTTGATGATATTGTGACGACTTTACGTCCTATTGATGTATTTTCGATTGATCATTTCTCACTGGGTCTGTATCTTATATTAGGTATTTTTGAAGTAACCAGCACATTGAATATCAGTTTTCATTTCAACATCTAGGTGGGACACAACACACAAAGCACAACCACATTTAGCGTAATATGCAGATATCAAAACAATTTGAGTTTATAAGGTCCATCACTAACACACAAATATATTTTTATACTATATGGATTTTATTCATTCATATGAGTATATGCATATCACATATTCAACCGCATTGCTGCTATTTTTTTATTTGTTGAAAATATGCTTCTTGAACGATGCAGCATGCCTTTTTTTTATTAGTAAAAACACACATTTTTGCTGCCGTTACAATTAGCCTACCTTTACATTTTTCTCTCTTTACCTTTCAATTCTTCTTTCCATTCATTGTTCGCCTTTAGTTGTTTTCTCGCCATTCATTGTTCACATTTTTTTTTTCTCTCCATTCATTGTTCGTTAAATTATATTTTCTCTCCGTTGATTGTTCGCCTTTCGCTCAGTCTAGACTAAGATTTTCAGTGCCTGCCGCAGCACCCTCCGACGGGCTGAGGCCTGGGCTCGGCGTGAGGTTGGGAGCTTGCCGTCATACCGGAGTCGCCTCAAACTTAACCCCGCTGGCGCCCGTCCCCACTCCGACTCCCACTCCGACTCCAACGCCGACTCCTACTCCAACACCGGCCCCCGCCCGGCGCATAGAACGATTCCGTGCCTGGTGGAGGGTTGGCGGCGGAGCTAGGACGGGCACGATGACCGGAACAGGCACTAGGGCCATGCTTGACGGCACTTGCAGTCCTAGTCCCGGGACTCCGGACACTGGGACACCCGGAACACCGGCAGGTAACGTCGTCAGTGGCAATCCAGAGACAGCCGCCATACCAGGCGCGTTGGCCATCGCCGCCGTGAGGGCCTGGGGCTGACCCTGTGCGTCCGTGAAGGGCGACGTCACTGGGAAGTGGTTGGCGACCAGCGGGATCCAGCACTGCGCTTGGCCCGCGCGCACCGGCGACTGAAGCACTGCAAACAGGTGGGCACCAGTGTCAGTGTGAGTCCTAGTGTTCGCAGCACAAAGGTGCACTCGAGGCATCCCCAACTGAAGGTAATCAAGTACACCCACCCAGAGTTGATAATCCCTATCAAGGTTTGGTAATCCCCACCCGGTGAGAAATGACCCGCGCAAGCGGTACCGAAACGATGTCCGAATGATTTTTCGAGTTGGGCACCCGTCGCCGTGTGCACTGCGTTTTGGTGCAGCAGTTCGAGTCGCTTACCGTCTCTTCCCTCGTCGCCTTGCTGCGCCGCGCTGGTGGCCCTCTCCCGGCGCGCGCTCTTGAAGGCGGCGGAGCGCACGTGGCCGCGGGTGCCGGTGTGCACGGCGTCGACGCTCACGGAGCGTGCCATGCTGCGCCGCCAGTGTTCGGAGCGCGCCGCCCGCGCACGGGCGCGGTCGTTGCCGTGCATGTGCTCGTTGAGCGAGTACAGCTTATGGGTGATGTCCTTGCCTGCGTGGGAAGGTGCACGTCAACGTTAGGGACTGGTCTTAACTTTGCATTTCGTTAACACACGGTCGAAGGAGAAAAGACGCTGGGCGACGTTGGGTATGCAACACTGTTAAAAATGCTGTAAGGAATTACAGTTTGACTACAGGGCGTCCTGTATATTTTATGTACAGGCCAGACTGTTATGATATGGGCTGTACTTCAGTGTTGAAGTCAAGTGCTGTGTTGACCAAAAAGGCGGTTTGCGAAGTTCAGTACATCCTGTACAGAGTAGACTGTAATCAAAAATTACAGTCGCCACCGTAGCGACAAATTGACAGGGCAAACTGTAGAATTTCCTGTAGGATTTTTTAACAGTGAACCCGCCGTCAGCTGCGTGGAGCCGACGACACGTCGCGCCCAATGTTTGACCTGTCCCCTTGTACCGCCACGAATCGTCCAGAAAGTTTGTCCGCCAAATGCCGTTATGGACGAGGCAAGTTCAGCCCAGCCGTCCGTTCAGCCTTTGCAAGCTATCATAGCGCCTGGTACGTTGGCAATATATTGCATGCAGTGCACGCGTGTACTGCGGGATGGCCTACCCTAAGTCTCGCAGGCACCGAGGTCCCGTAATTTATTTGCCGAATGAATCTAAACATTTTTTAAAAAGGGACGTACTTTCGGAACAAGCGCATAGCGTCACTTCCTGGAGCATTCATTGAAGCTCGCATTTAAGTTTACACTCCTTGTTCTGTTTTCTTTCGGAAAAAGAGAGGTGTAGCGTACAGTAAACTACGCCCACTTGTCACGACATATGGAGGTAACCGTAAACTGCCCTAAAAATTTCCACCCCTACTCCGACTGAGTCGTCCACATTTACAAGTACAAATTGACAATTTAATTGGTGCTCGTGTACATAGAAGAAAGTGATGGGACGAAGGTCTACGTCATTTTCTTTTGACAGACATCCACTACGGATTCGTTGGGAGATGCGACAAGGTATAGCTAACAAAGGTTATTTCTTCTGGAAAGAACAAAATTATTCCCTCATTGCGACCGCATTGCGACCTTCGGGAAAAGATTGTTTTGGGAACAGGTCTACCCTGCGGCTGTAGATGCTCTGGTCCCACCGACACAGGTTACTGCGTACGTAAGACGTAGTCCTCACCTATGAGGGTGTCCAGCACGATGCGCACCTGCGGTCGGTGCCTCAGTACGCGTGACAGCTTCATCCTCGGCCAGCACATGTACACGCTCTCTTCTTCAGCAGAGATGGTAACCTTCAACATACAAATACCGGCCACCTAGTTATTAGTCTGCAGGGGAGCTCTTCGAGCAGCGCGACTTTATGATTATGTCATCCATTTTAATGTTTCCCTCAGAATCACATTTAATGAGGTATTTTACGAATAAAAAGAACAGAGGGAATCCCGGGTTTTGGACTATACACGGAAAAAAATATGTAAGTTAAGTTGCCCTCGCCCTCTCATGCTGGGTTCAGGACCACCATTGGAGTTTCTTGGAAACCCCACGAGATTTGCCCCTTGGATGCGGTTAGGTTTACTTCATTTTTGACAATCTTGTCACGATAATGCACCATCGAATGAAGTTGAAGTTATTTATATCATAATAAAAGAGCAAAGAGAAAAACACAACAAAAATTCTACTCTGGCTCTAATTGGTACTTGCTGTTTTTCTACTCTATTTATGACGTCTACTCTATGTACTTTTTCAAAACGTACGAAGACAACCTGCCATCAGTTTTCTCGCGGCCCCTCTGCGGGCGCGCTCTGTTACCTGGAAGGTGTTTTCGCTCGTGTCGTGGTTCGCCTCCCACTCGGGTGAGTCCACAAACTGGTGGATGTTGATGTGATGCAGGTGTGTGCCGTCACAGCTAACGGCCAGCCTGCAACACGGGGAGTGGCGGCCGGCACTAAGGACCAGTTCTACAGGTCTATGAACTAGCGACTTACTAGCCTGTTCTAGGAATATACGAGGGAGTGAAGTTATACACATGATATTGTGATTAACGATACACAAAGTTCTGTCATACCAGCTAATTTCTTCCCTTAGTTGGAAAATACGTTTACTTAAAGTTAGAAAACCGAGGGGTACATCACTCCGATTCTGGACGTACACCTACTTTTAGTCGATTTTTTTGGGCCGTGACTTTTTGACTTTTTTTGACTTTTTTTGTACTTTTATTTGACTTTTTTTTGACTTTTTGATCAAATTTATTTGACTTTTATGATTT